ATATATATACAGTATATATATATATATATATATATATATATATAAATAAAAAATTATGCAATAGTTATTATTATTTTATTTAAATAATGACATTTTCAAAATGCATTTATTCAAATTGCTTAGAATCAGCATAAATCTCTGAGTTTTAATCCAAATGCATGAAAATTGTATATGCAATTCAAATACATTAATCTTACATTTAGGCCTAATGTAACTCTTAGACTTGGAGAAGTCATGGAAACTAATACAACTTTAAAAATCTTCTATAATGAATATACATTTTGCTCAACAGAACACATTTGGAACAACACTACGGAAAAATAAATAATAGCAGGACTTTCATTTTTGGAATGAAATCTCTTTAAGGCCTCTCTGGCGAACTTGATCAGATAAAGAGATAAACAATGCATTGTCTACCTTGTACCACTGGATGGACGGACTGTCCACGCTCTTTAGATATTTCCTCAGAGGGCAGACGAGGAGATCGTTCACATGAGCGCTGATCCGCTGGAGTCCCCTCTGCGGTCTCTCACAGTCTTCTGACGTCATTTCGGTCACCACCAGTCCTGTCGCCTGTTTGTAGCACTCACTTTGAGTCCTGATGACAAAATAAACACAGACAGGGTTATTGGGGATCAAAACAAGCAGTTGCCACACAAATGCTCGCTCTCCTAAACCAAAGACATGACAGGCAACTCAATATCAGCAATCCAAACATGCAAATTGAGTGACAGGTAGCATGTGTTTTTAACTAAAGTCCGGACCGTTCTGGGCCAATTTCTCACAACGTGTATTTTAATAATACCTGTCAGGTGGTAGAAACATTTTTATGCATGCTATTTTAAAAAGAAATCACTGTCTGCAATGCCTTAAAAAACTGTGTTCTGTTCTAGTATTCTGCATGTCATATTTTACACACAGCAGTGGCATGGAAAGAATAAGATATAATGGAGAGGAGATGGAACACACACACACACACACACATATGGGATGCAAAAGACTAATGCTGCCCTCTGCTGACAGATTAAGTTCCATGCATTTCTTATCAGCATTTCTCAACCTTGTTTTTTATTTTTTTCCCATATGTTCTTCAACAGCCCTTCTTATACTCGATTTCTTTAAAAAAACACACACACACACACACACACACACACACACACACACATACACACACACACACAAAAGAAAATAATACAATAAAATAAATAATCTATAAAAACAAAATAAACATTATAAATAAATTAAAATTAAATAAATAATTTTTTTAACAGCCCTGATATTTAAGTTTCTGATTCATAGGTTTAGCAAAACACAAACTAAATAAAATAAATAAAAACAACAATAAACAAACAAACAGCTAGTTTGCTTCATGGGTTGATTCATATAAAACAAAATAATAATATTAAAATAAATAAACAAATAAAACAAATAAAAAAGTACATAAAAAAAGTCAACTGTCCTATTATTTTAAGTTTCTGATTTAGCAGAAAACAAACAATAACAATGCTTATAAAAAATAAACATATAACTTAATTATATTATTTAAAAAATAAATAACAACAACAAAAAGGTAGGTAGTTTAATAAAATAATAATACTATGAAAATAAATCTACAATAATATAACAAATAAAACAATAATAAATAACCAAACAATTTTAGCAGTCTTTATATTTTTTAAGTTTAAATCACGGATTTATTTTTTTCCTAGTAAACGCATATAAGGTAATCTTTTTTTTTTCAGCTGAAGCTCAATTAACTTAATTAACTTATTACTATCTCTTGATATTTTAAGCATTAAGTAATATTTCTGTATAATACATTTCCTGCATCTTTACCGGTTCTATAAAAAAAAAAAAATGCTATTTTGCCAAATTGTGTTATTTCAAGTAACAAATAAGAAGCTTCCAGCAGCGCATTCTACTTTACACAGAAGAACAGCTAAGCACCATATCTTTGCCTTTTAACTTTTTTATTAATCTGTATATTCAGCCTGTTTTCTTAACCTTTCTTTACTTACAGCTTCTGTCAGTGACAGTAAGTGTGTGTTTTGCGGCAGCAGGTTGTTTAAAGGTCAGGATCTTCAACACCTGTTCAACACTACACTGGTTTGCTCATCTCACCATCCTGGAAACTCCACATAGTAATCCTTCCTGATCTTTCCATCCATTTATTTCTTCAGTCAACAGAGCACTGCAGCTTCAGTGAATCTCACCAAAACATATCAAGGTCGCGGTGGAAAAAAATCTCAGCATATTAAAAATAGGCTTGGAGGAAAAAATAAAGGGCATTTCTGTTGCACGCGAGGCCTTTAACCCCGAGTCTGACACACTGACCACATCCTCTGCTCAAAATGCGTTTCTAAAACATTTCACTTCCAAAATGACTGCATGCGAAGCAAGCCCCTCCTGAAATCCCCCACCCCACAGAAACGTCCCCAAACTCCTTAATCCCTTTGATCATATTTACTCTTATTCATATTTTGACATTATTGTGATTCATATTGCATAATGCAGTAAAATTGAATATATGGGGGCGAAAATGTTCCTAATTTTTCTATATGATACATTTAGGCAATATCACTCAAATATCAGCACAACTGAAAATGTGATATTGATTTTACACAACAGTTCAATAAACAACAAACTAATATTGAGACTTAAAATGAAATGTGAAATGTTTGGAATAATATTTTATAAGATTTTTTTAAAGAAGTCTCTTCTGCTCACCAAGGCTGAAATTACTTGATTAAAATACAGTAAAAACTGTAAAATTGTGAAATATTTTTACAATTTAATATAACTGTTCTCTATGTGAATATCTGTTAAGATGTAATTTATTTCTGTGATCAAACCTGCATTTTCACTCCAGTCTTCAGTGTCACATGATCCTTCAGAAATCATTCTAATATGCTGCTTTGCTGCTCAAGAAACATTTCTGATTTAAATATGAGTCATATTTTTGTGGAAACCGTGATATACTACCATTCAGAAGTTTGGGGTGAGTAAGATTTATTTATTTTTTGTATTCAGCAAGATTCTATTTCAAATAAATGCTGTTCTTTTGAACTTCCTATTCATTAAATTCTGAAAAATAAAATCTTTTCATCGTATCACTTTCCACAAAAATATGAAGCAGCAAAAAATATTTATAATAAGAAACATTAATAACCTTTTGAAAACGGTCGAATGAATGACTCAATGACTCACTCCTTAAGACGGTGACTTGAGTTTCATATTTAAAGTATCACTTCATTTGACAAAAATCATTTCATATTTCTAGATTCCATTAGTTTTTAAACAATCTCACATCATTATTTATGCAGCTGTAATTGCAGTGTAAATGCATCCAAATGCTGCTTTAGATGCAGTTTCTGTGTCACTTCTGCGGCGCAAAAAGTGGATTTTGCTGATACTGATTTCATTTGATTGGTAACAGTCCTATAGTTTCTTATTACTCTAAATTAATTAATTGATTAAATGTAAGGATTTGACAAAAGATGATGCATACATCAAACAAGGAACTGGGTGTTTTGAAGTACTCAGTACAAAACAAAACAAAACAAGAAGATAAATAAATAATATAAAAATAAACAAATAAAACAATAATTATTAAAACATAAAAACAACAATAATATAACTAAATAAATACATACATACTCAGTGCAAAACAATAGAAAATTAGCAATAAATAAATAATAAATAAATAAAATAATGAACGAAATATTAGAATTTGACATAAAAGATGATGCATACACCCAATAAGGATCTGGCTATCCTCAGTAAAAATAAATAAATAAATAAAATACATAAATACATAATATATAAATAAATAATAATTATTAAAATATAAAACTAAATAAAAACAACAAACAAACAAATAAATACTCAGTGCAAAACAAAAGAAAATGAGTAAATACATGAATTATTATCATCATTATATTATTATTCATTATTAATCATCATCATCATAAATATTAAGAATTTGACATAAAAATGACACACTGAATAAAGAACTGGGGGTGTTAACGTGCTCAATACAAAAAAAGAAAATAATATAAAATAAACAAATAAAGTTATTATAATATAAAAATAAATACATAAACAACAACAATAATATAAACAAATAAATACTCTACAAAAAAAGAAAAAAAAAGAAAAGTAAAGTAAGCAAACAAGCTTTGGTGACGTAACAGGCCTAATCCAGACAAAGGAACCAGCACAAAAACACACTCAGCAAAACATTGTCTAGTTATCATAATCAGGGCCTGAATTTTGTTTTGGAAAATGGGGGGGGATTCCCCCTTTAGGTGGCTCTTATGGGGAGGATTTTTTTTTATTTATAATAAATAAATAAAATAATGAACGAAATATTAGAATTTGACATAAAAGATGATGCATACACCCAATAAGGATCTGGCTATCCTCAGTAAAAATAAATAAATAAATAAAATACATAAATACATAATATATAAATAAATAATAATTATTAAAATATAAAACTAAATAAAAACAACAAACAAACAAATAAATACTCAGTGCAAAACAAAAGAAAATGAGTAAATACATGAATTATTATCATCATTATATTATTATTCATTATTAATCATCATCATCATAAATATTAAGAATTTGACAAAAATGACACACTGAATAAAGAACTGGGTGTGTTAACGTGCTCAATACAAAAAAAGAAAATAATATAAAATAAACAAATAAAGTTATTATAATATAAAAATAAATACATAAACAACAACAATAATATAAACAAATAAATACTCTACAAAAAAAGGAAAAAAAAGAAAAGTAAAGTAAGCAAACAAGCTTTGGTGACATAACAGGCCTAATCCAGACAAAGGAACCAGCACAAAAACACACTCAGCAAAACATTGTCTAGTTATCATAATCAGGGCCTGAATTTTGTTTTGGAAAATGGGGGGGGATTCCCCCTTTAGGTGGCTCTTATGGGGAGGATTTTTTTTTATTTTAGGGAGGAGTATAGGGTATTTTTTAGACATATTTTTAAACTACAATCATCCAACCTAAATGTTTCGTCATCCAGTGTATTTGTGTTTTACAATTTATAATGCTGTTGATTCATTTTATATTGTGAGGAAGATACTTAAAAAGAAACGCTGAAATTAATTTATTTTAACTAAAAAAGACAACTAAACAGTCAGTTTTAAAATAAGAATAGCTAAATGACAAGCAATGGCACAAACAAATACAATAAAAAAATACAAATACAATTAACTGTGCTTTAAGTTTTTCAGGTAGGTATAACCGTAATATTCAGGTACAGACATACCACAAAAAACTGAATAATCCGTTGAACTTTTAAATAATACTGGTTAGTAGAGCTGCACGATTAATCGAATGCGATTGTCATGTGCATTTTGTTAAAAAAGCCGGTTCTGTAATCAGCAGGAAATCATCATCACATGCTTTCAGATGGAGCAGCATTTACTACACATAGCCGTAGTTCACTGACAAGTTACGCAAAAAAACAAAACAAATCGCAGACGATTTTACTGCACGATTCTGAAGTTGAAGAAATCGTTGGCGATAATGACAGCTGTTTGCATAGCTTCTCGGTGAACTACGGCTCTGTGTAGTAAATGCTGCTCCATCTGAAAGCATGTGAAAATACCACATTTAATAACATATTTTTACTCCAAACTCACTTCATAACGTCAGTCGAGTGTTTGAAATAAATCCTTCTGTGAGATGATGTGGCTTCTTACACAGAATACTCATCAAGACGGTCATTTTGACAAAATGTTGTATGCATTTGGCCGTTTACGCGCAATACGGCGCAACACTACTTCATTCTCTAGTCGCGCGCTCTCAGATGCGGCTCTATGCGCGCACTTTGGGTGTGAGCTTGCAGAAAGTGGTGTAACGAATCAGCTCATGGGAAATACAATTAATTAGTAGAAAAGTAAATTTCTACTGTGCATTTGCCTCTTGCTTATGGGACATTTTCCCTGGTCACATTCCATGAGGTTGTAACTGAGGGGTGTTACAGAGTATTTGTTAAATCTAGCTAACAAAATATATATTGTGTGTTTGATTGGTCCAGACACTACAGCGGTCTCACAGAGAGCAAACAAGTACTGAATCGAGCACTTGAATGTTTAAAATTGTAAGACTCAAAAGCATGTGCAAATGATACACTCTGTCATCTGTCCCGAGCGACTTTCACGCTGAAATACACGCGGAAACTGCGGGAATCAGTAGAATTATGCACAATCCCGCGCCGAAATTCAAGCCCTGATAATCAACAATATCCCAAAAAATATTGAGACATCATTTTTTTTGTAGTCACACTACTAATTCCTACGAGTAAAACACTTTGAGTGCCTGAGTGAAGTGGCTTGGTGCATCCCATGATCCATTGCTTCAGACAGATTCTTATTGATAAACATATAGAATTACTTTAAAGATCAAGAGGAAAGAGTCTGTTCATACCTGACCACACATGTGTACTTTCCTTGCTGCTGCATGGTGACGTTGAAGAACCACACTTGTGTTTTCTTGAGCATGACACTCTGCTCCAGCGCCGTGATCTCAGAGCCCGTTCTCTCATCGTACCATGTGACGCTGTATGGCGTTTCTGCAGGATTAAAGAGATAGTGCACCTGCAATGGGCACTCCAGTATCGCCACTTCACCCGGGATCGAGAAAGCCCGCTCAAAACCCTGTCCGAAATCCCTGCAGGATTCTGTTTAGAGACATGCATGATGAAGACCGTTAATAACCAACACAAAACAACGCTAGAGAATGTATAGGCATAATACGAGAGCATGGGAACAAAATTAATTTGGAAAAAAATTAAACAATGTATTGACACCAATGCTACATTTTTTTCCATGCATATCCTGCCTCAAGCAGTGTTATTACTGTTAACTAAAACCATAAAAATGACTAATTAAATTAAACTTTAACTGAAATCAAATAAAATACAAAAAACAAACTCATTTCAACGAGTTCTCATTTTCATTTAGTTTGTTGAAGTTTTAAAATAACTAAAAATACATAAACTTTATTAAAACTATATGGACATATTAAAATACTAATAATACTAATAATAAAATGACAAAGACACACAATACAATTACTAAAACTTAAAGGGATAGTTCACCCAAAAATGAAAAAATAAAGTTAATATATATATATACTGTATATATATATATATATATATATATATATATGGATATTTTTCTTATAAAAATGCATCGATTTGCTTCAGGAGGCCTTTTTTAACTCTCCGGAGCCGTGTGGAGCACTTTTCATGATGGATGGATGCACTTTATTGGACTTCAAAATCTCAACACCCATTCACTGCCATTATAAAGCTTGGAAGAGCCAGGACATTAATATAACTCTGATTGGATTCGTCTGAAAGAAGAAAGTCATATACAACTAGGACGGCTTGAGGGTGAGTAAATCATAGGGTAATTTGCATTTTTGGGTGAACTACCCCTTTAAAAAAATTACAATGAAAAAAGAAAATATAAAAATAGAATTTATTCAAAATATTAACAAAAACTATAAGTACTAAATAAATAAATACCTGAAAAAAAAATAAAATAATAAGATTGTATTTTATCCACAACACTGTTCATAAATTATTTTAGTAGATTTCAACAAATTAGTTTGATATATTCAATAAAAAAAATATTCAGGGTAAATTTCAAGAGAAGGCTTCATATATACATATATACTGTACTGTGCACCTTGTATGTATCATAATAACCATTTTCAGAGCTTTGCAGCCACGCCTTGAGTTTAAATGCTGTTCTGTACACAGAGTTTTATGAGGTACATTAAATCAAACATTCTCATCAAGCTATAATTGAGTTTTATTTCATTTACAGGCATCAGTATATGACTCACTTCATCCAGCTAGTAAAGTTATTGAAGGAAACAAATGCAACTTCCTTACCTGGACCTAAAGTTTCCGTTGAGATCACGGCACATTCAGTTGGCCAAAGTACAGCGACCAGGAAAATGAGAGACAACCGACCCATATCTGTAGAGAAAGAAATGACAAAATGACTGAATTTGAATAGAGATGCAGAATGCAGAAGTGTAATTTCATATTTGAATTTAAGAAATTAGAATTATAATAGAATGTATAATGGATCACACGAAAAAAAAAGCTGAGGATAACTAAAAAAAATTATATGTTTGTTTGTTGTTGTTGTTGTTTTTTTTCCAAACATCTACAATCACAACTTTTAATTTCCCTGATATTTGCAGATTTTCCATGACCCTAATGTTAGAAAACCCTATAAATAATATTCAGGCACTCTTGAATGTTCCCTTCAGCTTTTATGATGTTGTTAGTCATGTTTGATGAACTTTGAACCTCATGTTTACTGAAAGTGTTTGAGACGCAAACTCAAAGGTCATCCCCAGGATCAGGGTGAAAAAAAAACACCATTTGTAAAATATTTTTTCACTATTTTACACACATACACACACACACACACACACACACACACACACACACACACACACATATATATATATACGGTATATTGTCTATAAAAAAATAAATAAATGTAGCAAAAATGATTGCAAATGAGACACAAAATCAATTAAAAACACAAACACAGATGTGGGAATTAAATGCACACTTATTTGACACAATATTTAATTTCCAATTTGTTTTTTAAGAAAATTAGTGTAGGTCTGAATTTCACTCTGAAGTTGCTAGTAAATGTCACAAATAATTACAAAGAAATGGCAAGCAACACACTGAAGTAGAAAAACTGAAATATTTTCTTGCAAAACGTACATTTTTCACAGAGTATGCACTGGCTGCACGGTCAGTATTTTTAGAAAATGACAACTGGGAACTAATTACAAACCGCAAAAAAGAATAAAATACACAATAAAATAAGACTGCAAAAATGATTCTGAGATGCAAAAGTGCAGTAACATATAATCTGATGACCAACCCTTAAATAACGAAGCTTATATGAATACATGTGAATTTCTACTCTCACTTCCCTCCTCGCCAAGAAACGCAGATAGATGGGAAATGCTGACTAGAGCTGAAGCTCTGTAGCGGAGAGTGCCGATCCAGCAATCGACCGACTAAAACAGAGTCAATCTTGCACAACAGTTTTCGTTCTTTAAAAGCGTAGACTACACGGTTGCACTTTAGAGGAACTTAACATGCTTGCTCAGCGTTAAAAATGGGAATTTGAGGAATAAATGTAAACCTGCACATCGGAGAAAAAGGGAACATTCTGTTGTCAAACAGGATCATGGCCTACATTAACCCTGAATTTAAACTAACCAGCCAAAATTTGATCTGCTTGTAACCTACAAACCCTCATCCAGATGTTCAGTGGATTGCAAAATATTTACTTCACAGTGAATACATTGTTTTTAACAGGTGATGACGTCAATTGATTCCACTTGTACTTACATGCTTACAGCAGCCACATTTAAAGAAAAAAAACCCCAGCCGCATTTAAAAAACCAGCAAGCTATGCAAATACATTTTAAAGGGATATTATCATTTTAATAGTGGCGTTCCAGCGGATGACGTAGGAGTGTAACGATTCATCGATATGGATCGATACGATGTCTGACGATACGATGCATCGATGCCACGTGTAAAATATCGATATCTGTAGTATAAAATAGGCACCTTTATTTTGGCACTGTCCACATTTTCACATAATGTCCGTCTAAGCATTACCGACAATGCTGTGCGAGAAGTTTTCTGTGCACACATCTGAAGCGAGCGCACGCACACAGACAGCGCGAATACTAAATTGAGCTCTCTTCCACTTTTTTGTGCATGGATGAATAAATAGACATTTGTTTTGGCGAATATCCTAGTAAACACAGTCGGTTAGGCATATGTTTTAACGTAAACAGTTGAGAAAGAAAAGGCATGTGTATGAGTAGTTAAATCCGTGCTTTCGTTCTTAAAGTGAAAGCAAACTAATAATAATTCTAATGCTGTTAAAGAAAAATACAAGTGCTCACTGCTCATGACTAAATAACCTTTGTAACATCAAAAATGATTAATCTATATTTAATTTATACATTGAAGACTATGCACTTATTTTACATTTGATTATTACAATTCTGTAGCGTACCTGAAACTTGATTTTAGACTGAGCTGAAAAACCTGAAAAGCACTGTTTATTGAACTTGTGTCTTTGTATTTATTTTCTGCTATTGCTTGTAATCTGTAGAAAATATTTTTAGTACTGAGCCCATAGTAGCAGCCAGAATTGTTTTTCCAATTGTTTATTTTCTTTATTATTAAAAAAAAAAGTGTAGGCCTATTTTTTTTGTTGTGAATGTCCCAATTGAGGCACAGGATGTGAAAATTTCAGATAAATGTTCATGTTATATATTTTGGTTGCATTTGTGAGTTAATAAAAATGTAGATGGTTGTTTAAAATAGGTATATAATATCATAATATCGATCGATATACTCCTGTATCGAATCATAATCGTAGAATTTTTTGAGGTATCGGCAAAATCATATCGCTGGGTATGATAATCGATATCGTATCGTATCGTGACGAACCACCCGATTTACACCCCTAGCAGGACGTAGCGTAAGCTCCAGTAAGAATATGCTAGTCTCGCAAGAACCAAGGTTTGTTTACAGCCTCTTGACTTATATCAAAATCCTCCTAAATTTTTCTTTACAAATTCTCTTTTTCTACTTCTAATTCATGACTGGTGTTTTGTTTTGCTCTCTTCTCTGCGTTTCCGAATTTGTCACCGCATTTGCCTACGTTCTACATCATCCGCTGGAACACCACCCTCTTGTGAACACGAGTACAACAGTTAGCGGAAATTAGAGATTATGGTTTATAAAGTTGTAAATATGAATATTTTTCTTAAACACATGCATTGATTCCACTCAGAAGGCCTTTATTAACCCCCCACAGCACTTTTTATGACGGATGGACGCAGTTTATTGGACTTCAAAATCTCAACACCCATTCACTGCCATTATAAAACTTGGAAGAGCCAGGACATTTTTAATATAACTCCGATTGTATTCGTCTAAAAGAAGAAAGTCATACACCTAGGATGGCTTGAGGGTGAGTAAATGATGGGGTAATTTTCATTTTTGGGTGAACTACCCCTTTAAGCTCGATTTTCCTTTTTTTGTTTGGAGAAATGTAGCATCACATCACTTTCCAATGGATGCTGAGCAGTGAATGGGTGCCATCAGAATGAGAGTCCAAACAGCTGATAAAAACATCACAGTAATCCACACCACTCCAGTCCATCAGTTAACATCTTATGAAAACAAAAGCTGCGTGTTTATAAGAAACACATCCGCTATTATGTTTTTAACTTCAAATGGTTGATTCCAGCTAAAATACGAGTCCTCTATACGAGTCCAAAACAGCTCTATGTGATTATGGACTCGTATTTTATCTGTAAGCAACAGGTTTGAAGTTAAAAACGTCTTACTGATGGATTTGTTTCTTACAAACACACAGCTTTTCTCTTCACAAGATGTTAACTGATGGACTGGAGTGGTGTGGATTACTTGTGGATTATTGTGATGATTTATCAGCTGTTTGGACTCTCATTCTGACGGCACCCATTCACACCCATTCATATACCAAATTTCTCCAAATATGTTCCCATGAAAAAACAAACTTATCTTCATCTTGGATGGCCTAAAGGTAGGTCAATTCTCAACAAATTAAATTTTTTGGCTTGACTATTCCTTTAATATGACCAGGTCTAAAAACACCCTGTTGACTATTAAAGGCGAGTTGCATTATTTTGGCCTGATTCACAAACATTTGCAGTCCGGTTTGACAATTGCTGCTAAGAAATGGAAAAACAAACAAGAAGAAAATTGATGACCAGAATGAACCTGATTGTCAAGTACAGCAAAAGTTTGGGTGGCACTGGTTTAAAAAAAATGACAATCCCCAACGACAATGAACGACACTCATTCCTGACCTGGGAAAATTCATTCTAACATGCCACATCATTATAATAGTTCAACAATTTCCTGACAGGGTGAAGTACAAGTTAACAAGCAATTTACAACATGTCCATCTAAAGGAACAGACAGAGAGAAAACCAACCAAGTGTTGAGTTCCCACAACCACAGAACAGATTTCACTACAGCAACATGACGTTTCATAATAGCAACAAGTCTGTCGCTTGCCTAAACCGTCTGATTCAGTCCAAACATGTATGAGTGGGAACATGCTGTACTATTCAAATGCATCTCAAATCGCTCCAACCTTAAATTACATAAGCGTCATTCTACAAAACACGTGCCTTTTCCAGCTTGTTATGGTGTTTTCAAAATATAATTGTAAGATTTTAAACATTTTATCTGATAAATGATGTGTGGAAGCTAAATCAATACATTTTAATATATGTTTGGGAGACACTTATGCCTTCAGAAACTACAATGTGCTTCTTTGAACTAGAATTTAATGCCGATATTTCTACAAATACCCACTTTTCTCGGATTCATTTACTATACAAAATCATGGCTTTAAGATCACCCCATATTGACAAACACACTTGTTGGGAAACAAGTGAATGCAATAAAACTACACAAATTAAAACAGTCACTAATAATGAAGGTATACATCAGAAAGTGGAAATATATCTATAAATAAATTATCTTTATATCTATTTATCTATACATAAATGAGTATATATACATAAATGAGTATACACACACACACACACACATATATGCATACATACATATATATATATATATCACTAGTTTTGCAGATTTTTTAAATGTTAAATCAATGCCATTTGAAGAGAAAAGATAAATGAAAAATGATTGAAATCCCTGCTAACTTCAGCTTTAATGACTCTTTCTGAGTCAACGTAATAACTAGAGTGCAAGCTAATAAAACTATCAAAGCAACAAATCAACCACTTCCTATTGGCCCCATTGTCCATTTCCAGCAGTCTGGACACACTTGAGTGAATTTAAGCTTCTCATGATATTAAAGGCCTTTTTAATCTAAAGGCTTTTGCTTAAATGCTTGAAACCCACTTGGTTAATTATTGCAATAATGCAAATTTGTCTATGTTTGATTTTTTTCATGCAACTAAAATTTACATTAAAAAAAAAGTTAAAGATGAGAAGTAAAAGCATCATTACTTGTGCAGCACATGTATGTTCCTCCTTCACTAGTGTTTTAAAGCATCCCATGATGCACCTCATGAAGTTGGCTGATAAATGTGCTGAAATCTAGAGAAAGAAACTTTGAGTTTTGAGTGATATTTCCATAGCTTATTCATTCTAAAATGTGGGAAAAAGTCATACTAAAGAATGACTGTGACTGCCAGAATCTGTTGAACAAACATGAACATTCATTCATCAAGTTAAATGCCAGGTAAGGATTTTACCACACCGCATGTTTACAGAGGAAATCTGGGAAATCTTCTCAAACACAAAACCCAGGGAAGTCAAGTCATGGCTATAAATGAATCACACAGTATAATGGCACAGATGGTGCCAGACACCACAGCCCGGGGTCTAGTGAGCGAACGGTGGTCTTACCTAAAGTCGTTCCCAAAGCATCATGATTCCCTTCAGTAAAGCTCGCTTTATACTTGAGTCAAGCACTCATTTAATGTGTCCTCATCGGACCCTAAAGAGCACGTATATGGCCGCACTGTCGTGCCACTTCTCCATGGTCACAGGAATGTTTGAGAAAGCGCATTTTGCAATATCCTCTCCGCGTTTGGGACGCTTCCTCTCCAACGCCTCAGAAAGAAAATTGCGCAATGAACAAGTGAGAGAGAGAGAGGCGGAGAAAAGTTGTTTGACTTGATGCTGCTTTAAACATTTTGTCACTTATGACTTGAACTGCTTCTTTTTAACAACATTTCAAGGTCTGAGGGACTGAAAGTAACTTAAATCTGTTCACGCGTGACCTAATCCTTCCTCTTCCAAAAGCCTCACTGAAAATAAGGTGTGTGTGAGTTACAGCTTCAATCCTGTAGGGGGCGCACTTTCAATGCTTGTGTTAGAACTAGAGTTAGATTTAGAGTTGGACATGTCAAAAACTGCAGATTTGTTGCGTTGTATTTATTACATGTTTGCTAAAGACCAACATTGTACAAAGTAAAAAACAGTGAATAATAGTGTAAATGAACGAGTAGTATTTTCACCGTAAGCGCGGGGGCCATCATTTTATTTTCATTTATTATAGTAACCATGAACTGGTTTGTGGAGCAAATAGTTTTTTGTGTACTACACAGAAAACAAAAATTCAGGCCAAAATATATTTTAAATATATGTGACCCTGGACCATAAAGTTAGAACTAGAGTTAGATTTAGAGTTGGACATGTCAAAAACTGCAGATTTGTTGCGTTGTATTTATTACATGTTTGCTAAAGACCAACATTGTACAAAGTAAAAAACAGTGAATAATAGTGTAAATGAACGAGTAGTATTTTTACCGTAAGCGCGGGGGCCATCATTTTATTTTCATTTATTATAGTAACCATGAACTGGTTTGTGGAGCAAATAGTTTTTTGTGTACTACACAGAAAACAAAAATTCAGGCCAAAATATATTTTAAATATATGTGACCCTGGACCATAAGAGAAGTCGCTGGGGGATATTTGTAGCAATAGCCAACAATGCATTGTATGGGTCAAAATTATAGATTTTTCTTTTATGCCAAAAATCATTAGGATATTAAGTAAAGATCATGTTCCATGAAGATATTTAGTAAATTTCCTACTGTAAATATATCAAAACTTAATTTTTGATTAGTAATATGCATTGCTAAGAACTTCATTTGAACAACTTTAAAGGTGATTTTCTCAATATTTAGATTTTTTACACCTACATAGTTGTATCTCGACCAAATATTGTCCGATCCTAACAAACCATACGTCGATGGAAAGCTTATTTATTTATATCAATTTCGAAAAATTGACCCTTATGACTGGTTTTGTGCTCCAGGGTCACATATGCTAAATATACTGTATGTTGTAAATATATTTTTGCAATTGAAAAATAAAAAAATATTTTTACTTTCAACCTTCCAGCTTACTTTCGAGCTACAAAATAAGGTGGATAAACTAATTAAGATGTGCAAAATCTTCTTAAGATGTGCTCTTTTTTTAAGAAATCAAAATAGTGGAAAAATAGAAAAGCATTTGATTCAGGAGCAATGATCAAAAATTTAGAGTTATACGCAATTATTTAATTAAATTCTAATATTATAACTAGCAAGTGTCTAATAAGTGAGATTTGGTTTGGTATCTCTGCACTTTATGGCTGTATATCTCCCAGACTCTTTTACGGTAGAATAATTAGAATAGTAGAAGAAGAAAATCTGAACAAACCAGCAGCGTCCTGGATATTATCCGGGATTATCCCATGCATTATCCTCTATGGAGTTAAGCTATGCACATTCAGATATACTGACTGTATGAGGATTTGAGCTGTTATTGTTCAGTGGCAACTATTTTAATATAAGAATTGATGTTCTTCACTAACCTTATAAAATAGCGCAGACATTCACTTCTGCTGGTGTTCTTCAGTTCTCTGAACAGTAACTCTTCCGCAGATGTTTATTTCTCTTGGTTCTTGCTTTACCAAGTGTCACATATTTCTTCTGTCTGTCAGAATGACTTTTTATATTCATGATCTAGTCAGCAACTGGGGATTCATCATCAGGTCATGATGCTTACGAAGGCCTGGGAAAGGAACCTCCCATTTCCTGTTGTGTTATAACATAGAAATAAATCATTTTCCCTTCACCATTTATTTCTATCTTTCTTCTTCTTGTGCAGGGCCAAGGACTGTTCCTCCAGTTTGTGGAGCTCAGAGTTGGCCTACACTTCAGTTTGGACAGGAGGAGTGAGAACTGGAAGCAGAGACGGCGTCTTCCCATGATTCCTCACTCTGTGTCGGCTCCATGCCTGCCTTTGAGGAAAAATATAGCCTGTCACATATTCCCCATATTCCTGAGCGTGTATTTTTATCTCAAATGTTTATGCAATAAGTCATATTAAGCAATAAGTGATAAGACACATTAGTGATATCACCCTTATTTTTTAGCCCATCTGTGGTTTACAGAATGCATGAAGACACTTTGCATTTTTTTCAGAGGATCGGGAAAAATGTAAGACAAAAATGCACAAAATGAAAATAAATGGAATTAAAGTAAATCAAATCAAAGTGAGTAAATGAGTGTCATGATTCTTTTCTATACCCACTGTATGTATGTATGTATATATATATTTAACTTGAAATTAAATTTAATAAAATATAAAAACATTTAAAAATATTTAAAAATACAAATATAACCACAAAAATATATTTAAAAATATATATTTTTTGATTTCAGCTAGTTATCAAGGCAACATTTCTCATTTTAATTTTGTTTAACTTGATGTACTAAAATAACTAGAACTAAAACTGAAGTAAAATTAATTAAAAATATATATAGTTTTTTACTTGAAATAAAAATATTTTTAAAATATTTAAAAATACAAATATAACCATAAAAATATCTAAAAATATAAAAAAACGTTTTTGTTTATTTTTATTTTTTTTCTTATTTCAGCTAGTTGTCAAGGTAAAATTTATCATTTTCATTTTGTTTAACATGATGTACTAAAATAACTAGAACTAAAACTGAAGTAAAAATGTATAAAAACTAGACATATTTAAAATAACTAATAAAAATAAACACAACAAAATAACTAAAATAACAAACACAAACTAAACCTTTAAATAAAATTAAAATCAAAACATTCAAAATATTAACAATGTCAGTGTTAAAATAACCCTGATACTGAGACATTCTCATATTCATCTTCATTTTCACTCAGATTATTATGCTGACACTAATAATTAAGTTTAGTTTATTAAATGTAATAATAAAAAAAAAAAAACTAAAATAAATAATTCATTACATTTAATAATTACATTTATTTGAATAATTATGCTGGTAAAAATGATGATGGAATGCAAAATAGAAATTTTTCTAGGTGTCTCACACTTTTGAAACTAAAAATCTGCTAAACATGAACTTGTTATGGCCACAAGAGGGCGAAGTCGTTTATTTCTGCATTATTATGTTATCAAACACTTTGGGCTCTGAATGCACACCGCATGGCATTATGATAAAAAATAAAATAAAAAATAACTAGATGACAGAAGAAAAAAATACTGTAAAAACTAGCTGACAGAAAACAGCAATATTATCCCTGACTGAAAAATACTGTATGATTAGTTTGACTGTTCAAATGGGATTGATTCAGTGTTAAACAATGGAAAAGTTTAACACACAAGCATTATAATTTATTAAAAAGCGTCCTGTTTCTTTTCAAACAGGAAGAGATGCTGAGGGGCTACAGGAAAAAAAGGGTAAACATCCACACATTGATATTAATACTCAAAAATGTCTTAAACAAACAAATAAACCAGATTCTCAGATTGCGTGAGCAGATCTACATCCTTTCAAGTCCTGTTTACTATGCAAAAAGACTTTTATTGAATTTTATTGAGGTATTGTATTGTAAAGTTTTCAGGCTTTCAATTACAAAAAATGATCATATAGGCTTATGTGTACATAGAAGGTTTCAATTATTGTTGGTCATTTACTTTCTTATATATAGTTCATAAATGTTATTGCTCTCAGTGTGGTTTGTTTGTGTGCACATCTCTGGCATCTCTTACCCGCTTCTCTAACGCTAGTATTGCATGTTTACAGACACTTCTTGCTTTTGTCTCTAGGAAGTGGTGAGACAGCGTTTCCTCAAAATTACATGCAAGATTTGGACAGAATTTAAGAATCAGCTCCCTTTCAAACCATGAGTGCGAATTTGGATTAAATCAGACACAGCACACAGACTGTTCAATTAAATGACAGAAAAATTTAAGAAAAAATAATTTCAACAGTCACACAACGGACAAATTTCATTAGTCAAACACAAGCTTACACAGGCCTAATTAATATAATTAGTATATAAATTGTATATATACATATACATATACATATACATATATATAATAAAAGCAGATGTAAAACAAAAACTAATAATGAATAAAGCACAACAAAATTATTAAAACTTAAAAAAAATGGAAATCTAAAAATGTATTAAAAATCAAATTAAAATTTATTAAAATATTAAAAAACACTATTACATTTTATACTAAATAGTTGTATATGAATAAAAAATAACAGACTCACATAATCAAATTCACATAATATTAGAAATTTCTTAGAAATATAGAGATGTTTTTGTCAATACACATATTTAGAAATACAAGTAAAAAATTATATTTATTTTGCCATACATCCCACAAAATGTCCAGCATATAATTTGAGCATTAATACAAAAAAATAAAAATAAAATATGAATTAAGCACAAATTGTTGTAGGTGCATTTCAAACATTAACTATTAACATGGTGTGTCTATAAAAAAAAAAAGTATTTTAGTATTATTTATAATTATTATAATATGTTAATTATATTATATTCATTTATTTTGAATAATCTTACATTTTTAATACATTTTTAGGTTTTAGATAAAAGTTTTGGTAATTTTGTTATGCTATTTTGAAATTTTTATTAGGTTCGTCTTCAGGAACTCGAGTTGCGTCGGAGAACGCTTTGGGAATGCCTTCTGTGACCACGCTCTGAATCACATGTGAAATCAGTCCAATAGCTGGGCGAGATGTCACGGGCAGGTGACGCCATGACCAGGAAGCTATAAAAGCACGTGCGGCGGAGCC